CTAGCAACAAAGACTGTCTAGACAAGTAGGAAGAATTCCCCCCCACCCCGCCCCAGAAGAAAAGGGTGCCCTTTTCCGGAAAGGCAGACGACTGAACACTCAGCCGTCAGAGTCGGTGGGACTATTTTTAGCCACCCCAGCCACTTACATGCAGAATTTGGTAGATGAGCTCCCCCAGACTGGCTCTCCATTACAGTGGTAATGATCATACACAGGGGCCTAGTAAATCTTCTCTCCCAACCAAACACAGGGCCCTACACCTGCAGGCTCTCAACCACACTCTGTTCTCAAGTGAGCCCATTAGTGTGTCACTGGAGACCAGAAAAAAGGCATAAAAGAAAGGTCTGAAGTGACAGTAAACTTCTGCTTAGCACCAGATGAGCAACAACTGAAGCCCAAGTTAACAGCAATGGAGGAAAGCAGCCCAAGTCAGAAGGAGGTGGGGACAAAGCCCTGGGGCATGAAGGGCATAGAAGCCCTGGGGCATGAAGGGCCACTAGGTGTGCTTTAGAGACCCATTCAGCCCCTTTCCCAAAATGACCTGTGCTAATCTGTATGGCTCAGGTGGTGGGACCCTGCCCGTGCACTCTGCCCTCAACCCTGGACAATCAATCACACCATCCCCAGAGCAGATACTGATTCAGGAACGGGCCGATGACCCAAGCCAAGGCAATCACAGTTCTCCTGGGCACTCTGGCTTGAGCTATTGGAAAAAATAGACTCTACTTCCTCATTATGCACCCCCTGTCAAGTGTGGAGGACAACAGGTGCCTCTTAACATTTATTCTTGTCACTGTTCACACTAAATAAAAAGCCAACAGAGAGGAAAGCAGAGGCAAGAGAGGAGGAACAGTGATAGAGCCCCAAATCACTGTTTAAACCCCTTGATCCAGCTATACCTGAAACACTCCCAACCAATAATTTACTTTTGTTTGTTTAAGTCCATTTGAGTTGGATCTTTTACTTCTGCCCCCAGTATAATCTTGACTAGCGTGTCCATTTATAAAGCTCAGATAACAGGAACTGACAATGAAGGATCAAAGGGAGGGAGAAAGATGCACCAAGTCTCAAAGAAGTGATTGAAGCTGTCCTATCTCGGACAAACCACTCACCCTTCCTAAGTCTAGTTAACTCATCTGACAAGCAGGAGCAATGCCAGGGGCCTGCCATCCACCCGGGATGCCAAAAAGATCACCTGGGCTAACTCGGAGGAAGGGTTTCCCAGACAGTGCGGCAATGAGCAAAACAGGCACCGTTTGTACAGAACAGCAGGGGAGCTGGGGCGGAGGGGAGGTGGAGGGGAGCCACATGACTGGCTCCGAGCTCTTGGGAACACCAATCACCTTTTTTCCTGGCTTGGGAGATGATGTCAGCCGCACTCTTGCTCATGACCTTTGTGACGTAGAGTGGACAGTTGGTTTGGCTGGCGATGGTGATGGCACGGAACACAGCCTCAGCTTCCAGCTGCAAAAAGAAGTCCCAGGAGTCAAGACAAGCATGAGCCTCCCGGAGAGCTACTCCCCTGCCTCCACAAACTGAGCCGGTAGTGCGGCACAGTGCTTGAAAGCCTACAAGATCTGGAGTGAGAGTCCTTGGATCCAAAGCTGGGGCGATTCACTTGGCTTCTCAGAGCCTCGCCCTCACTTCCCTTGGATGGTTCTCTCTCTCTCCCTGTGATTATCCCAACGTCTGCCTGTGATGGAAGCCTTTGCTCCCCAATCTTCCCAGGCAGATTCTCCGGCAAAACACAATCCCAACACCAATATGTCAGCATGAACCAGTAAAGGCAATTAGACATCAATCCTTTCCTGCAGCAACGGGTGGTCAGCGATGGCAATCCCACAAGGCATTTCTTACACTAGTAATTCCCAGGCTTCTCAGCAGAGACTTCTCTTATTATCTATTTCTTCCATCCCACCCGAAAGTGGAATCTATGTGTTCACATGTGCTAACCAACTCGGCTGAATTTTTTCAGGAAGAAATAATGAGTCTCCCCTTACTTCATCAACAAAGCAGGGTCTTTAGAGCTCAGGCTCACTCAGACGGCCTGGGTTGGAGTTCTGGTTCTGCCAGCTAGAAGCTGGGTGACCTGAGGTACGTTACACAACCTCCCCAAATCTCAGTTTCCAGTCTACCAAGGGGGAAGAGTGACAGGACCTGGCACACAGGGCTGTTGTGATTATGGGTTCATCCTTAAGGCAACTGCCCCACTCCTGGTCCTCACAGGCTGGCTACTGGTCTTACTGCCGATCACATCCCTACGGGGGCGAGAGAGCCTGTGTTGCTGCCCAAAGCCCAACTCAGTCCTATTCAGCCCGCAGCAGAGACACTAGTGTTCTCCCATTCAATCAGCAGCAGCTCCTTTTTGGATGGATATGACATTCTGGTTAGCCTATGCAACCCATCACTTTTAAAAATACCAAAAATAGCTTGCAGATGCCCGGTGCTTGCATAATGTAAACCAGCCACTGCCCTTGGTGGGTGCGGCTCAGCCGACAGACTCTAAAACTTGGCAGGGCCCTGCTGGCGGCTCCCAAGCTGCCCTTTGTTCCAAAGGGATGAGCCCCTGGAGCCCCTGACCACAGGCGAATGTGGCCACCTCCCTGCATCGCCCAGACTTCTGGAGCAAACCTGGGGTTCAGCTCTCTGCACAGCATCACTGGAGAAGGTGGCCGGGTGTGCTCTGCCTTGAAGAGGGGTAGGTCCCTCCTACGTCCATCCCACCCTCTTTACACCTGTGCTGACCACGCCACTCCCCACGCCCTCGGTCCTGGCACCCGTGATCCCGTGCCCTCGTGGCACAGCAGGTTTCCAGGACCTTGACAGCATGACTATCTTTGGAAGGTTACATCACCCTCCAGCTTCACCCAAAAGGGTTTCCAGGATTGTCCAGATCTGCGGCAGAGAGGCTTTTTACTAAAAAGGAGACGGGAACAGGAGTGGGGTGGGGGGGGGGGAAGGGGGGGGTTGGAAAAACAAACCAGGGAACAAAAATAGACTTTGCTCAGAAATCCCCTGGCTGCTGCTACAGGAATCAATCTTGCCAGCAAATTGCTACAATGACCAGCATTTAGGAAAAGTTTCACCAACAGTGCTGATCACCCCGGCCCTACTCACAGCATGTCAACAGCTTTCCAATCCTTCACATGGAAGCAGCCAGTAGCTTAACCTCTCTGAGCTTCAGTTTCCTCCACCAGCAACACTACCAACTGCCCAGAGCAGCAGCAAGGACAACTGAGGTAATCAGCACAGTTCCAGGTATAAGCTTAGGGCTCCAGAGAAAGGACCCATAATACATATTATGAAATAGGTATAAATTATTTTAACTGGGAAATGATATCATTAGACACAGAGGAGTTTCTGGGGTTCTGACAGTGCTCTGCTTCTCCAAGTGGGTGCTGGTTACACAAGTGTATTCGGCTTGTGAAAACCCCTTGTATCTTTATGATTGGGGCACTTTTCTGTATGTGTGTTACATTTTCATTTTATAAAGCCTCTAGAAGAGATGGGCAACAGGGATACACGGATGTCTGGTTCTGCCTCCTCTTACCTGCTGTAGAGTGTGGGGCTGGGGATAACAAAGCAAGAGCCAGGCTCCCTTCACTCACACAGAGGGCTCTCAACACACCCCAGGTGCCAACCGCAGGCTGGCCTCCCAAAGCCAATATGCTGTCAGCCACACAGGCAGCCAAGTCCCTACTCTGTGTCCTGTGTCAGCAGCTGAAGCTGCCGACATCCCAAACACATGCAATCAGCCACTAGTGACCTTTTATTCACTCGTCAGGGGCTAAGAAGTCACTATTCATCACCCATCTTACACGTGGGAAACTCCCATACCTGGACTTCATCACACAAAGCGACAGACATAATGTCTGTGAGACGCCCACTCCCCCTACTATCCATATCGCTAATATTTTATTTTGCAGGACTCAGAATATAACACGGGCATGTCTTTAAGATTCACACTGATTAAGAAAGGATTTGGGGATTTACCTCTCCAGCTGAATAACTGTGGAGTACACTCCAACCTGTGTTATCTTTAGAGAGATTAGGGATCAGAAGTAAACATTTCCCTTACATTCCTTTTCTCAGAGTCCCCTGAGTTGGGTCAGTCAGAAGCGGTCTTTGGAAAAAAGGTTCCAGGATTGCTATCTGGTATTCACAGAGACTCTCACCTTCCAGCAATACTTGCTCATATACACCGTGTGCACATGTGCCTAGGAAAGGCGGGCTGAACACAAACCCTCAAATGAGCAGCGGCCATAAGGTATTGCAGTAAGAGGAGTCTCCCAGACGATGCTGGAAAGCAGAGCACCTGCCCCTCCTCCATCCCCCAGCCCCCGTGCAACTCACCTCCTCTGGTCTGCTCAGCACATGGCCTTCCGGACCAGTTATCCCCATTTCCAACATCCGGGTTTGCTCCTACAATGAGATAAGAACACAGACCAGTTTTGAGATAAGCTCCAGTGAGGTCTAGAAAAGCTGTGCTGGTGTATTTTAATCTGAAGAAGTGTTCAAGGGAACAAAAAGAATAAAATGCGTATGTTGAGTACATTTGTTAATGCTCTATCTCGAATTGTGAAATAGGGTCAAGTCTTAAATAAGAGGAGAAAAAAATCATTTAAGGGTGGCTTTTTTAAATTAAAAGGATGGCAGTCTGTTAGAGGATCATTTTTTTTTTTTTTCTATATGACACATCAAAAGTCACACCAGCTCACTTACTGCTGACAGTTTCATGCTGTGTCTCCCAAGGTCTGGTACACCTACCACCTACATCAGAATCCCCTGGGTTGCCTTTCCTGGCTGAGCAGCTCCGTGGTCCTCTCCAAGTCAAAATACAGAGGCTAAATTCTAGGAATCTGCACTGTAACAAAGCCCCGAGGCTATTTTGTGGTTTGAATTTATGGCTGAAGTAAATGGACTCAGAATTAAACCAGACAAAATAATGCCTCCAAACAGCATTAACTGAGTTACTCTTTGGGTCAAATTCTATTTAATTAGGTTGTTTTGTGGCAGAACTGCCCACCCCACACAGCTAATGGCTAAATTCTTCAGACTTCTGGCCAGCTTTCTGGAAGAAGCAGGTGGCTGGGCAGTGAGCACACACGTGGGCTAATTGGAACTGGCAGAAATCCTAAGCCTCCATATCTGCAGTTTGGCTGGCCTTTGCTCCCAAAATGCTAAGGCCAAATCCAATGAAACCCTGCCCTGGCAGGGAGGGAGAGGGAGGACAGAGAGTGAAGGGAACGAAACCTCGTTTCACTTCGAAACTATGAGATGTTTAGAAGGGAAGGGATTCCTTCTTTCTGGAAAAGAAAATCTAGTTTTTCTTGGTTTTGTTTTGTTTTGTTCTGTTGTTTTGTTTTGTTTTGCTTTGAGTAATATAAATTTTGCTTAAGGTGTAGGAAGAAAGACGCATATCGTATATTTCAAGCTGCTGTGAGCAGTGAAATGGTCACCGTGTCCAGCTGTGCAGGATTAGAACAAAGGCCAGAGGCTGATTGTTACAGCCAAGTTCACTTCATTCTTACTGTTCCATTTATGGAGCCTCAGACTGAATACGATTTCTTCTGAACGCTGGTGAGTTTCCACCCTGCTTTGCCTCCTCAAGTCACACAAAGGTTGAGGTGTCCAACCAAAGCTTCTCCTGTCTCATAGGACGCTCATGTTCAAGAGGGCTGGGATGGCGCACGGGAGGAAGCTTGCTCCAGAGGTGGTTTCCAAGCACATTCAAATCATCAAGGGAACTTTTTCAAATTATGCTTGCCTGAAGTTTACTACTAACCTCCTAAATCAGAATCTCTGGAAGTTGGAGAATCTCAGGAATCCCTAAGCTCCACAGGTGATTTCAATGCACTGCTCATGCTGGGAAGTCCATTCTTTTTTTTTTTTTTAACATTTATTTATTTTTTGAGAGACAGAGTGCAAGGAGAGAAGGGGCAGAGAGAGAGGGAGTCCCGGAATCCAAAGTAGGCTCCAGGCTCTGAGCTGTCAGCACAGAGCCTGACGTGGGGTTCGAACTGATGAACCTGAGCCGAAGTTGGAGGCTTAACCGACTGAGCCACCCAGGTGTCCCTGAGAAGTCCCATTCTTAAAGGCCATGGTGTTCCTAGAGCTGGGAGGTCAGGAAGGGCATGCAAAGACCCAGTGAAGCCAGCTTACCTGGGTGCAGGAGCAGTGGGCTCCTTGGGGCACTGATCATTGCTGTAATCACATCACGGTTTGGGGCAGGATACAATTTTGGTTTACTCCATGAGGAAAGGGACCCTGTCATTTTCATCTTCCCTCCCCAAGGCTTGGCACATAGTAGGTGCTCAATAAATACTGTCAGATGACGAGCTCAAGATGCTGTGCTCTCAGAATGCCCTGCCAGCCTGAAACTGTTGAAAATGTCCATCGTGGGTATCCTTGAGAGAGATTTCTTCTCGCTCTTTGGTGACATTTGCCTAAACTCTGAGTACAGCAGCTGCCTTCATTTAGACAACATGATAAAATCTTTCGGCTCCACCTCCATGTAATAAACACACACAAGAAACTCATCCAAGTGGAAAAATGCCCTTATTCTTTCCCTGACTGAGAACAGATCTTTCACAAGGCAGGGAAGAGTGGGGGTGGGGGGAACCAGAAATATATCTGTGCTGTGGAGCCACAAGAGGAAGCTGGACAAGGGGCTTAGCAATGGCAACCTGTCTGCCTCCACAGGGCTTAGAAGGAAGTAGCAGGGAGTTTGGTTTCTAGGGCATCTGGAGGGAGGGCTGGGGCCTCTGGCTGCTGCACTACAAACGTGGAGAAAGAGGAGGAGTAACAGCCCTAACACGACCAGGATGCCTCCCACAGGCACCGGACCCTCTTTGGAAAATGATTTCATTATCTCTGGGTGTGTGGGGGACGTGGGAGAAGGCTGTCAGGGACCTGACTAATTAATCTCCTTGGTCAGCAAGAGGAAACGACACATTCAGCTCACCTCCTCCAGATGTTGGTGAGACAACATCCAGCGTCTGCAATGGTAACAGCTGGAGCCCGGCTCTGTGGGGACGCTGCCTTGCGGAGGCCCTGCAGCCGGACTGGGGGAGCAAAGGGCCCAGGACACACCAACTCTGGGGGAGGAGGCCCACTGAGCCACCCTTTGAGCTAAGATTTTCTTCCAGTTACTGGCTGTGATACCTGGGCCCGTGACTTGATCCTCTGAGCCCAATATGCTCATCTACAAAACCAGGCAGATAGCAGCCATCTTTCAAGGGTGCAGGGCAGATCAAGTGAAAATGTGCTAGAGCACTTCCCAGTGCCTACTGTAGTCAGTGTTCGCCAGAGGGTACCTGCTGCTGGAGGCCAGTGGAGCCGAGACAAGAGTTGGCCCCACACTGTTCCCACACCCCTGCTGACCACATTCACCAACTCTTGGGCAACTCTAAGGAATGCGTCTGTTGGGGGCTCACCTCAGTAGCCTCGTGCCTGGCACAAAATGCACAGGAAATACTCTTTGAAAGAATGAGTAATGGATTTTTCTGTGAAGGTTACTAAGTGGACCGAGAGAGCTCCCACTCTTCCGGCTGCTTCCTCCTAGTGGGGGCCAATCTTGAATGCTTCTGACATCAACAAAACCCTGGCTAAGAGACATCTGTGCATCCAGCCCATTAAGCGACCCAGGAGATGGAGAAAGTGCTTTCTGCTTCCTCACAAATGATCACTTTGGGCCTTAGGGCCTCACTTTCCTCACTCCTGCGTCGGGTTTCTCAGTCCAACTTCTAGGAAACCAGCGGGGCATCTGATCCCCACAGCCCTACGTTCTTTATTATCTAAAGCCGTGAGTTCCGCAGTCCTGGATGAGATTTCTGAGATGTGCTGCCTTACGGTTTTTCTCTGGGGCAGAGAATGTCACTTAGCTTGGACTCACTTCGAAAAGAGAATCAGCCATGCTCTCCCACTTAAATGGTCCAATTTGAAAACCTCTCCCGCGATGCCTTTTCTGATTCCCCAGTATGGCCAGACGGCTCCCTGTTTTAGAGCGGCCTCCCCTTTCTCCCTCAACTTGTCTTCATTCCACCTTTTTCCCTCCTCCTAGATTGGGAGGTTGTTGGGGCAGGTTCTGTTTTTAGCACAGCGTTTATGAGCGTGCCTTGCACACATTAAGAGCTCAAGCAATACTGAAGGAATGAGGAGAGAGATGGGCTGAAGACCAGAGCTCGTGCAGACAGCGTGCTCCGGGGAGCTGCACAACATCACCTGGGCGATGATATCCCCGTTCTCAGCATGAACTTGCGCAATGGCTCCCAGCTCTCCCAGACAGGTGAAGATCTCGTACAGCTGCAAGAGAAAGGACTCGTTGTCACCTTCACAAGGCACGGATGCTTCCAGCAACTTCACACAAGGGTCACTCACTAGAGCCATAAATAAACCAAATGAGGAGAACCAGAGGAAACCAGCGATTAGAGCGAGAAATACAGACTAAAATATGCATGACCAAAGAGTGCAAGTCCAAAGGAACTCTAGGAAACCGTCTATACAAAGAACATGTCATGTCTCCTCGGCAGACAGGGCGAACGTGTAACCAAGTGCTGTCGAGACTTTAACTCTGCCTCCAGCACACGTTTTTAATGGTATAATTTCCCATTTTGCTGAGATAGACCTTCACTATTCTTCTCCACAAGTGCTCCCGAAAGCTGCTACAGCCTGGCCAGGAGTTAAAGCGAAAGCTGAAACCCCTATTTCTTAACCCATCAAGGCAGACCTCCCTTCACCTCCCAACCACGAGGCACGGGAACTAACTTCTTGCATTTCTTCTGAAAACGTGAGATTCGTCTAAAACCAACACAGGCCACGAGAATGCCTTCGGGAGAGTCACGGGCAAGCTATCACCCCAAACAGCAGAAACCCCTCCTTAACCCCTCCTGTGTCTTGCAGGATATAGCACCTCACACTTGTGCTGAGCCCCTGCGGGGCTTAGGGCTTGTTTGGTAGACACAGATTTTGGCATACCCTTCCTCCCGTCCTTTGGAGAAAGCTGCTGCCAGTGGAAATTCTAGCTCCTGGTCTGCCCTGCCATGGGCACCCTGCCTGTTACCTTATTTATTCGCAGTGCCATGGACTGCGAGGGCTCTAAGAAGCACTCTGGCCCAGCAGTCTCCCACAGCGACCACAGTGACTAATGCTCAAAGAGCCAAGGTCATAGCAACAATAGGAAGCCCATCCAGATACCCCAAACCACACAGCAATGGCTTGTTACCTCTGTGTTGGACACTTGATACAAATCCTTATAGGCCATGTAAACCATGAAGGAGTTAACCCCTGCAAGAGAGGGAAGGGAGGGAGAACAGGAGGAAGACAACATTAGCCCGAGCACTCTCTATCCTTTGCTCTCATCGCCCATGGGGCCCGACCGAGTGCATCGTGGGCACCTGTCCAACATAAAGCAGATGCTTCCCATTCTCCATTCTCCCCGCACCTAGAAAAACAACAATGCCTACGTGGGGTCACAGCAGAACAGGCTCTGCTGTGCCTCTTTCTTGCCTTGCCCCCTAACCCCCATTCCCCTCCCCAGAGGGTCAGCAAGCTCTGCTGCTGCTCGAGGCAGTATTTTTTCATTGAGAATCACTGTAGCACACAAGTCGGGCTCACACACTGCGGCTGCACCACATTCTAGCTCAGCGAGCTGGGAATACCTCGCCTCTTGGTTTCCTCACCTGTAAAATGGAAAATTTACAATAGCCTGCTTCATAAGGCAGCTGGAAACGTTAAATGAGCCAACACATACCGAACTCTTAGCACCAGACCTGGCACATACTTGAGCTTCACTAATGGAGCTCCTGGGATTGGGTTTATTTCACTGCTTAATGAATGCCTGCTCTACACGAAGCCTTGCCGGATATTGCCTCTAAGACAGCGACCATGGCCCCGGGAAACTACAGAGCTGATGGGCAGAGGTCAAGGTCCACCTTATGCTTAAATATCCAAGTTGTAAGCGTTGCTAGGAAAGAGCTATTTAATTTTTCACCCCAAAGTAAACCATTAATATAGTAATTTATATAAGTAGGTGGGGCTAGGGAACAGAGAATCATTTTGAGGAAAGGAGGATAATTTTGGTCTCCAACCATTAGGGCCATCTCAGCCCACATTGTTCCAGGCCAAAAGTGGGTTGTAATTTGAGAACTTCCCGACCCAGAGTGGTTCAGCTCAGGGCAGCTTTTCCCAACACTACCCTTCCCATAAGCCTCTTTGTCATCCGCGGAATGACCCGGGCCCTTTGGCAGAGAAGTGGGTGTTAAGGCCGTTCCATTTTCTACCCCACTGGAGATGTCCAGAGTGAGAGGCATCACAAGAAAGAAGGGGGTTACTTCCACATCCTGTATCAGGAAGGTCTGAGCAGAGCTTGGGGGCGGGGTGAGATGGAAAGAAAAACCTCATCCTCTGGGAACCCATCCTCTCCCCTCCAACCCGGAGCACACTCTCTTCCACTGCACTCGACATCTGCATTAAGGCAGCTCACTGGTAATAGGATCACTAGGTTAGTGTTATAACAGTGTATGTTACTATGCTAGCATTCATTAGTACTAATATTGTAATATAATTAGTATGAGGCTAATACTATTACAATAATATTCTGCACCTTGCAGCATTTATCCTGTTCCTCTTTACTGGCCTGCTTCCTTTTGCCCTGAACGTTCAAGGGAGACCATTCCCATACTTCCCTAAATCCCCCAGGCGATGTGATGATGCCCAGCATATTGCATGTCTGTGTGCGTGTATGGGGGGCGGTGCGTGTATGTGAAATATCTGATGATCAAGGACAAGGAAACATAAGTCATGTGCTCACTGAGGGGACACACACACACACGTTTCCATGTCCTAAGCTCCTAACCTGGGTAAGAACGTATCTTTGCCCCCAGAAATGCCGCAGCCTTTTCTGAGGATGCCACTGTTTTAGAACAGTAGTGGTTTGATCTTTGCGGTGAAAGTTACAAAGGTCAAAAATTCCTGCTCTCATATTTAGTAGCTTTGTGACCTTCTGTAAGATGTTAGCCTCTCCTGGCCTCAGTTTTTTCCTCTGTAAAACAGGCAGGGCCGTGTGGAGGCGAAGGGCACAGACTTTGGGTATAGCTACTGCTTACTAGCTCTGTGAGCCTGGGCCACTTATTCTGAGCCTCAGGCTCTCCATCTGCAAAGTGAGGAGAAGAATCTTCTTTGTGGGGACCCTGGAGGGAGTAAGATGGCATACATTAACACAAGGTGCCTGGAACACAGCAGTTGCCCTGCACCTAGCACCTAGCTCAAGGTTCCAGACTCCAAGCAAAGAGAAGGAGGGGGGGGGGCGGCGCACAGAAGCTCACCTTTGTCCTTGATGAGGTTCTGCACCTCCTGCTTGACGCTGTCATTCCAGTGGGTGATGTCCACGTGCAAGGCATAGTCACAGCAGCTCTTCCCATCTGCCCACTCTCGCCACTTCTCGTAGGCCTCGGTTAGGCTGGCCTCGGGCTCAGGCACCACGTGGTCAACTGAACAACAGAGGCCCCACATGGGTAACTCACGGATCCAGCCATTGCTCCCCTGCTCCCACATGCAGCGCTAGGGCTGCAAAGCCTCCACTTCCTGAGCGTGGAATTAACCTTAGAAAGTGTTCTCAGGCAGTTTCCAGATGGCTGCTAATTGAACTGTCACTTACCCATGTTGCTCTTGGACAAACTACTAGCCTCTCTAAACCTCGGTTTTTTTATCCTTGAAATGGGTGCTCAGGGAGATGGAGGATGGAGTGCCATAGTGCCTTCCTTCTAATTGTGTTATATGATTCAAAGGGAAAATGCATGAAAAGTATCTCACCTGATGCCTGGCACATAGTAAGTGCTCAATAAATGTCAATGAATGTCCACCATGTGCCATTATTGCCAGTATTACAGGAAGTCACTGCTAGTGAAGAAAGTCAGACTCCCTTCTACGGGTGGAAGGAGGGACTTCAAATTTATGTCAGGTAAGAAGACAGTGACATCCTTGTGCTCACCACCATAGGAAAGAGCCAGTATCAGGTACGTGAACTTGAAGCTCCGCCCACAGATCTTATTTCCACACAAACATTTTGCCAAGAATAAGTTTTCTTTTGGAGCGCCTAGGTGGCTCAGGCAGTTGAGCGTCTGAATCTTGATTTCGGCTCAGGTCATAATCCCAGGGTCGTGGGATCGAGCCCCGTGTCAGTCTCCATGCTGAGCTTAGAGACTGCTTAAGGTTCTCTATCTCTTTCTCTCTCTCTTTCTCTCTCTCTCCCTCTCCCCCTCTGCCCACTGTGCCCTCTCTCTCTCTAAAAATTAAAAAAGAAGTGTTCTTTGAGGCCCAAATCTACTCCTACAATGTGTGCAACCTTGGATAGCAGTTTTAAAAATAATGACATTCACCCCTGATGAGGATAACACAAAAGTGACACTCACAGCTCCCTTGGGGCAGTTGGGGGAAGTGCAAATTGCTACAACATTCCTGAGAACAATTTTGATATATACATCAAAAATCTGAGATTTTTCATACCTTAACTCAGTAATTATTCCTGGGCCTAAGACCTATTCCTAATAAAACATGGCTGTCTGCAAAATCTGCACACTATAGATGTTTGCCACTGCAAATATTATTTAAATGTTTATAAAAGTGAAAAATTGGAAATCACCAAAATCTTTAACAATAGAGAAGTTCAGCTAAATAATAAACATACCTTCCTAAAATGGATGGTTAGGCACCTATTTTAAATGCTCCAGTGGAATAAAATTAAATGAATGGAAAGACACTCGTGACATGGTTATTTGGTGAAACGGTGGATTAAAACACCACTAAAACACTGTATGTCTATTAGGGTCTATTTTTGTTAAATAGGAAGAAAACTACAGCCACACTCTGACAGTGATGTGAGCTTTATAGGTTTGCTTTTCCTGCTGCATATCTACAGTTTTTAAATTATCTACAAAGAACACATACAGTTTTGTGTCTCTCTGTATGGTTTTCTCTCAACACCCACAACTCTGACTTTCCTCCCCTCCCTCCCTCACATTGAGGACCAAGCACAACACATGTTCCCAGGACACTGAACAGGTCCAACGCCTTGCCCGATGGCAGAAAGCCAAACCAACATCTCTGGTGTCCTCAGCCTCCTACCACAGGCAGCCCACGTGTGCTTATCAGAAAGCAAACGCGAGGAGCTGCATTAACTGAGGCGTGCACCGGGGCCTCTGTGGGCAGGCGGCTGCAGGGAAGGCAGCTGGCTTCCTCCCTTCAGCTGGAGAAAAGCTTTGGTCTCCCTGAATTGCACCTTTTATGGCCTTGAGGCAGTTTTCCTGGGCTTCCACACCCAACTAGCTGAAGCTCAACCCGGCTGGGGCTCCCATCAAAAGGAGGCAAAAGACAATGAATAAACTCTACAGCTCAGGCTGTTCTGTGTTCTTGGATGGATGTATACGGTGTTAAAATAAACAGTGCTCTTGTTGACCAAGTTTTGGGGCGAGCCTGGGATGGGACCCACTTCCCTGGGATTCCTTTGGGACAGGAAGGACTGCCCTGGAATGCTATGTGTTCAGTCATGCAGTGGCATGCAACATCCTAGGTTTCTCTGGAATTGCAACTGTTCCCAGAAAAAAAAAAAAAAAGACAAAACAGAAACAAAAAACAAAGGAAACCACCCCCACAGCTTGCCTAATCTTAAGATACGAATTGGTCAAAACCCAGTGCAGACCAGATAACAGTAAATGGAAATGAACCCCCTGGTTTCTCCAGAACCACAGGTCTCCATTATCTTTCCCTCTCTGGGATGCTTAGCCCTGTTCACACTGCTCTGCCTGTGCTCTCTGCCCCCTCCTGCCTCAAGCCCAAGTGGGAAGTTCTGAAATGACATGCTGCCCATCTCTGCACTTTTGCCCCTCAGACTCTTCCCAGTGTCTGGCCCAGAGAGAAGTGCTGATTCCCCACCCACTGCACACCCACACCCTGCTCTGAGGCAGACAAGAGAGGACAGCTGCCTTCATGGCCAGGAGCCTCGTGAATCTCCTCTATCCAATTTCAGTGACCTGCCAGCATCCTCACTACCATCTGCTTTCCTCGGGTCCCATCAGGCAGATGGCCAATGCTCTGAGTTGAGAGATGTGTACGAGCTATGGCCAGAGAGCAACAGGGGTTAACACGTTAGTTAAACAGGCACTCGTCGGGACCCGGAGTGTGGAGGACTGGGCGGCTTACTGATCATGGTGGTGCCCCCCGCTAAGGCAGCCTTCGTCCCTTGGAAGAAGTCATCCACTGTGGTCATTCCTTTGTATGGCATCTGGAAGTGAGTGTGGACATCAATGCCTCCCGGGATCACCATCTTCCCATTGGCCTCGATGGTCTTCACTCCTCCAGGGACAATCAGATTGTCTCCAATTTGCCTGGTGAGACAGTAAAGCAACTGACGATTTCAAAGAAGCAACTCTGAAGACAAACACAGTACTGAGAGGATTTGAGACACTGTAACTTATATTTATCAGAGTGATCTTTGCAAGTGATTCATGAGCCTCACAATCTAGAAACCAAGCAAGACAGACATACACCCAGAAAACAACTTTTACAGACTCAAAACAAGCTGATCTGCTTTTTGGTGGAGACATGCTTCTTGGCTTGTACTGCAACCCCAGCACTTGGCAGGGTCTGCAATATAGAATGTGAAATAAACATTTTATTATTTTTTTTTAATTTTCTTAATGTTTATTTATTTATTTTTGAGTGAGAAACAGTGTGTGAGTGGGGGAGGGGCAGAGAGAGAGGGAGACACAGACTCTGAGGCAGGCTCCAGGCTCTGAGCTGTCAGCACAGAGCCTGATGCAGGGCTCAAACCCACAAACGGCAAGATCATGAGCTGAGCTGAAGTCAGATGTCCAACCGAGTCACCCATGCACCCCATATATTTTTTTTTAAATAGAGGTGTTTTTGTTACCCCTTTCATTGTGTTCTTTATTTTAGTGAAGGATGAAGAGTAACACTGGGAAAAACAAATAAGGAACCATTAGGAGAGACTGAAGGAAGTCATGAATCATTTAAAGAATACATATGTGAAGTTAGCTATCCTTGAAGTGAGTCCACCCGTGCTCCTAACAAGAAGAATCTGAGTGGGTCATTTTACACCTCATTCTTCACTCCCAAGTCCACCCTTCCCCCTGGTAATTAATCTGTCAGTCACAGCCAAGGGCAGGTTCGAAAAGAGGAAGCCAAAGACACAGACACCCAGCTGGTGGGCAGGATCTTGGCAGAAGCTTCGAGGCCAGGAAGGTGATGTGGACAACCTCTATCAGACACACCTTTGCCCATGAAGCTTCAGTGAATCCCCGGGAAGAAGAATGGGGGACTCAGGTGGGAAGACACAGTACCTACACAAGGTAAGTAACTAAGACACCTACTCCTGGCAAAATGTTACCTTACAGACCATCCAGTGTTGCTTGGTTTACATGTGATTTCACACTGTTGATTTAAATGGCCAGTTCACCAAAAAAAAAAAAAAAAAAAAAAAAAAAAA